TTTGTGGCATCCCAAAACAATTACCATAGTAGCATAGAAGATCACTGATCACAGATTACCATAATAGATGTAATATCACAAAAAAGTTTGAAATATGATAATTATCCAAATATGACAGAGGTGTGAAATGAGCACGTGATGTTAGAAAAATGGTGCCAATAGATTTGCTCAATTCAGGGCTACCACAAACCTTCAATTTGTAACAAATACAGTATCTGTGAAGAACAGTGAAATGCAACAAAATGAGGTATGCTTATATTAGCAAACTGTTTTCACATCTTCAGAAATATCTGCATTCTCGTTAAGAATGGTAAAATAAATTGGCATTTACATAGGATCTTTCCAACAAACAGCTCAAAAGTCAATAATGACAAAAGGGTCCTTTCTTTTCTTAAATTAATAGACTTTATCTCTAGAGCAGTTTTAGGTTTACAGAAAAATGGAACAAAAAATACAGAGTTCCCACATAGCCCCACCTCCTCCCCCATTTCCTCATCTCCTTCCCCACAGATTCCCCTATTTTTAACATATTGTATTAGTGTGGTATGTGTCTTATAATAGATGAGCAATATTGATACATTATTATTAACTACACTCTATAGTTTACGTTAAGGTTTACTCTCTCTATTATACATTCTATGGATTTTGACAAACATGTAATAAAATACATCCATCATTACAGTAACAAACAGAATAGGTTCACTGCTCTAAACATTGCCAGTGCTCCACCAATTTATCGCTTCCATCCTCCCTCCCTCCACCTGACTCTCTGGTAATCACTGATCTTTTTATTGTCTTCATAATTTTGCCTTTTCCAGAATGTTATATGGTTGGGATATATAGTTATACAACATGTAGCATCTTCAGATTGGCTTCTTTCACTTAGAAATATGCATTTAAGGCTCCTCCATGGGCGCCTCCATGTCTTTTTGTGGCTTCATAGCTCATTTCTTTTTATTGCTGTATAATATTCTATTGTATGGATGAACCACAATTTGTTTGTCCATTGGCCTGCTGAAGGACGTCTTGGTTGCTTCTAAGTTTTGGAAGCATTTATGCTCCAGGTTTTTCTCATTTTGAAGTTAAGCAATGGAAAAGAAAGCTCCCCAGAATTCTATGCTCCCATATTTTCCCAGCTGTTTCATTGACTGCCTTGCTCCATGGCTCTGGTAACTATTTCCTTACAACTGTTCTTGGTTCCCTCCAAGCTTAATATGGCAGAGGTTTAAGTCATGGTTACTTCCAAATTGCTGGATAGCTGATCCCAGACCAGGTCAAGATGAGCAACTCTAAGACACCACCATTGCAGAGGAGAGACAGTCTCAGTTGACCCAGAGGGGCCAATCCCACTAGGACCTCTGGCCCATAGAATGTGGACTTCCATCCTAGAAGTCACTTGGAGATACAATTTTCAGCCACATGCTGCAGACAACTTTCATCTTCTGAAGCCCACCCCTGGTGTCTTAGTCAGTTTGAGCTGCTCCAACAGAACACCATAGACCAGGTGGCTCACACAACAAACATTTATTTCTCACAATTCTAGAGGCTGGAAAGTCCAAGATCAAGGCAGTAGGCAATTTGGTGTCTAGTGAGGGCCTGCTTTCAGATTTGCAAATGGCCATCTTCTGGTTGTATCCCCACAAGGCCAAGAGAGATTATTTCTCTCATATTTCTTCTTATTTCTCTCTTATTTCTTATCATATTAATGCCATCATGAGTGCTCTACCCTCATGTCCTAATTACCTCCTAAAGACCATACTCCCTAATGTAATCACATTGAGAGTTAGGATTTCACCATATTAATGGAGCAGGGAACCACAAACTTTCAATCCATAACACCCAGCTAGATACTAGGTAACTACAGTAACTATCTACCAGCCAGATAGATATTGTAGTTACACCCACCCTTCATACCTTTCCACCTGTGTCTTTTTAAGCCCTGCTCAGCCTCAGGGAAATAGTCATCATGTTCTTTACACTTAAAAAGAGGGTGTCTTAGTAAAGAGGACCATTTATTTTAGATTTCTTCTGTTGGTTCCTTCTCTATGTTAATCTGCTGTTCTCTTGACTTCTACATATGCGTACAATGCACCTTGGTTTTTTGTTACTTCTCTTTTCAATGAATGTGAGGTCTTCCACTAGCAAAATTGCAGAGGTGATCTGTCTCCTCAGGCTCCACTCTCTGTGACTTCCTTTCTACCCACCCTATGGTGCTTCTGTGCTCACCTCCGTACCAGGACTCAGTACCTTAGTACTCAGTACCTCAGAACCTGGGTCCTCTCATGACCTGCTCTCAGGCTTTCTTGTCACCTCAATGATCCCAAACGGTTTTCAGTAAACAACTGAAAAGAGCTTAGGCATTTTCCTGACCTTATTGCATTCCAATAAGGAATTGCCAGGATAAGCCAGAAGTAGACTAGAATGTGTGAAACTGCAAGATGCTTGACGCCACCTCAAGGCGGCATCGGTTTGGCTGTCCTGAGATGGTGAAAAGGAAAAGTCTTCTCTTCTGGTTAGCCCCTCACTTAGAGCTCTCTCAACATCTATTGGAAATTTTCACATCACATAATTCATCTGTTAACATTCCCTGAAGAGGGTTCAATTTTCAGTATACTTGAGGCACTTCTCTGGGAGTTCACCCTTCACCGGTTCTTACAAGGATCTGTTCTTGCAAGAACTCCTCACTGGGGGAGGGAGCATCATGCCCCCATCAATAAAGTAGACCTCTTCTGACCCGGCTCAAGCAATCGCTCCCTACTTTGTTGAACTTTCAGTAAAATATGGCAACAGCGCTTAATATGGGATTATCCACAAACCTGTACATTAAAACTTTAGAGGAAAGAAGATAACACTGTACCTGTCAAAGACAGAAAAGGGGTTGGGAAGGACGCAGGCATTTAAAGACAGCAATGAAGCAGGAAAAGAAATAGCCCAAACTAGGGATAAAATCTTGGCAGTCCTGAGGTAGAAGGTAGCCGAGAAAGGGTGAGAAGCTATGAGGATGAATTGAGTGAGATGGTTTAATTATGATGTGTTTTATGCACCAAGATTTCTGAGGATACTGAGGTAAAGAAGACAGTTTGTTCTCAAGATTTGGTGTGGCAATGAAAACAGTTCTCCATTTGTCAGTCAAATAGCCACACTGGGTTTGAGTTAGGAGAAAGTCATTGATCATCCTAACACCAGAAAGCTCTTAAGTCAGCACTGCCTTGTTTCATAAGCAGAATAAGCAAGGAAGTAGGTTCTAATTCTAATGTTTGCAAAGTACCTTCCATGTTTGCTGAGCCACACTTCAAAGGGATTTGTGTACATTACCTCGGATTAGTCCGTTATCTTAAAGAGTCAGTGAAAGCAAGAAAGGTTAAGTGACTTGCACAAGGACACACAGTTAGTAATTTTTAGAGCCTGGGTCCAACTAGTCCCAAAGTCCCTTCGCATGGCCACTAGGTGGTTTGAATTCAGCTTCTCTGCTCCCTTATTTACGACCCTTTTCCTACTAAGAAAATGAAATTTTACAATTAGATATTTATTCCTTTACCTAAGCACTTTATTCTTTGGTGAATTTCTGCTAAGAGGAATAAGCCATTAAAAAGTTTACCGTTAATGTATTCCTTGCTGAGAACAAATTTATGAAATGATTTCCTGCAAGAAAATTTTGATTAGTGTGCATGTAGAGTGGGGAGCAGTCAGAAAAACGATGAAAGACCAGCACAGAAGAGGGAGGCAAAAATAGAAGATGTCTTTGCTTACACCTCACATTTTTTAGGGCACAAGTGCTGCTGGGGAGAAGCCCTGCCCATCTTCACTTCTCACTCTGTCCAGGGGCCTTGTTACACCTCAGAGTTTCAGCAAGTGGGAGGAAGCTGGAGAGGAGAATACTGGCAACGGCAGAGATGGGGGCGGGAAGGCGGGTGGTGCAGGGAGGGTGGAGACAAAGGGGGAAGTAACTTTTTAAGTAAAAAATGATAAGTGATGAATGGAATGGCTAATCCTGGGGAGCCCTGAGAATGCCAGACCGCCAAGCAAGGGCCTCTCTTTTTTTCACTTTCCTTTTTCTTTTCTTTTTAATTTTCTTTTATTTAATTTCGCTGCAGCACGTATAATCAATTACAGACTGAATTGGGATAAAGGGAGGGGAAGCACTTTAATTCATAAATCAATTTTATACGGTCATCAGTCAGGTTGTGAATGCAAATACCTCTGTCGGTTTAGGTTATTCAGAATTAATTGACTCCCACCGGGCTGGGCTGCAGACGGAGAGGGGCTTTCTCACAAAGTCTGCTAGGGCCCGGCATGGGGGCCAACCACTTCCTCCCTCCCCACTCTGGCCCTCTGGCCACCCCCCTCTTCTCCTTTACCCTCTGGGCCCCAAACGTGGAGATGATGGGGGTGGGCATCCAGCAAGAAGCTGGGTGGGTAAGAGCCCAGAAAGGCTGTTTGAAGAAGGAAGGGGATACACAGAAAGACGAAAGCCCCCAAACAAACCCTCTTCAGCCCAGGCCCTGCAGAGACACCTTTATGTGATTAGAAATGCTTAACTTTCAAGGGTCTGCTTTTAAGTTCTCTTGAGCTTCTTAAATAAGAAAGAAAAAAGAAAACAAACAGAAAAGCCAGAGCCCCTGGGCTGAAGCTGAAGGGATATCATTCAGAAACCACCGGGTTGCAGGGTTTGTGCGGCTGCCAGATTTTAGCAGCCAGAGAGCAGCCCAGGACAGAAGCCTAAATGCCAGCAGGCCCAGTGAAAGTGAGTGTGAAGGCCCTGCCCAAGGCACCAAAGAGAACAGCCCTGGGCTGTAGGCCCGCAGCAGAGGATGGAGAGAGAGAGAATGAATTGTGGTGTAGAATGGGCTGACCGAGGCTCCCTAGTTGGGCTGCACCTGTCTCCTAATTTAGCGTCTTCTATCTGCAGGAGTTCATTCTAATTTGGAAAGACACGCATCCATCCATCCACACATTCAACATATTTTGACCTCAACTTTTCCACTTTTTACCCTCAGCTAAATATACTTCTCATTGTGTTGCTCCAAATCAGACTGCCTTACCGGTTTTCAGCACTGTCCTCCTACGCGGGAATCACCCAGGAGGTTTGTTTGTTTTGTTTTTCTGTTTGTTTTCTTCATGCTGTTGTCCAGGTCCACTCCTACAATTCTGCTTTAATGGGTCATGAGTAGAGCCCAGGGAATTGGTGCATTTTAATAGGGTTACAGATGAATCCAAAGGGCAGCAAGGGTTGGAACCACTTGAAGTGTCTGAAGACTAAGGTGGACAACTCTAAAACCGCGTGTTTCCCTCCCCAGTCGCCGTTCCCTTCCCACAGCCTGGCAGTGTTTCTGAAAGTGTGCCCCATTGGAATTACATTAGAAAAAGTAAAACGAACACATTGGTAAGAAAAACAGGAACAAAATAAAATTTGGGAATATATATGTTGTAGATTCCCTGGCTCCCTCCAGATACACTGTGGTAAAATCTCTGGAAAAATTTCGAATTTACACAAACTCCCAGTAAGTTTGGGAATCCCTGCTGAGGCAAAGCACCAAGACATTTGCACTGTCTTTATTTAACATCAAATCCTAGCCTGCCTGGTACGTATCAAATTTTGCCTTGACACATGGCAGTTGTGTGTTTGTGGGTTTTGTCAGAGGAGCTCCCCGAGAGACCAAAACCTGAATCTAGGAGCAAAATGAAAACAGTCTATTTGAAGAGATGATCTCAAAGGCTTTGTGTTCCAAAGCATGAGCTCTTAATCCATATCGAGACTTTTAAAAATCAGCTATAAAATTCTTCTGCACTTTTAATGTAACCCACAGTTAAACAATCTTTAATACAGTTGCTTATATGTAAATGAGCCATATTCATTTGTTTTAAAAGGCTAAGAGGAATTCTTGGAAATGCTTCATTAGTCATTCATTTGTACTACCATATGCTACTGAAAGCAATAAAACTGCTTTTCTTTAAGATTTTCAGAACTTCAGGCTTCTTTCCCAAGTCAGACTAGACTTCCTCTCCAAAAAGTCTGAAGGTCTTAATGGAGATTAAATGTGTGTTTTCTCTTGCTGTACTTAACCAGCAGCAAAGAGAAATTTGGGCAGGGGGTGGTCCAGAATGAAAGGGCGTCTTGTTCGCAAAGCCCTGGGTTTCTAAGGTAGATAATCTGAGAAGTCCATAGGGGGAAAAAAATCCTTAGACTATTCAGGCCATGTGGCAGGGTGAATACACAAGCTTCCGCATCAGTACTGCCCAGCTTCATGACATACATTGGACAAGATACAGCACCTCTCTGTGCTTCAGTTTCTTCCTCTTTAAAATGGTAATATTAATAGTAGGTACCTCATGGGGTTATCGTGAAGAGTAAATGACAGAATGCATCTAAAAACCTAAGCAGAAAGCAAGCCCAATAACTAACAGCATTTGCTCTTATTGAGAGAGACCGTAGACGAGTGGTGATCAGTGGGTCTGTTGGTCTGATTTGGTCCCTCTAGCAGCATCAGCATCACCTGGGACTCTATTTGAAATGCAGAATCTTGGGTCCCAGAACTACTGAACAGAAACTCTGAAGTAAGACCTAGCAGTCTGTGTTTTAGCAAGCCTTGCAGGTGATTCTGAACCACTCTACAGTTAGAGAACTCCCGGGGGGAGGCTAAGACCTGGAGGCTGGAGCCTTGGAGAGCAATAAGAATCTCCTTAGAGTCAAGCGGTTTGTGGTAAAGAGAAAGGGTGGATTTAGCTCTCTCTATATGGGAAACTAAGACAAAAATGTCTTACACAATTATGAGTCTGGGGTTGGAAGAAAGGAAATTTGGCAGGACTGCAGCCTGAAGTATCCATCCAAAGGATGGAAATCTCACCAGTAACCATGGGCCTTGTACAACAGCACTGTTTGCAAACCCTTGCCACAGACAGCATCTTGTAAACCTTGAGACCTCAGGAAACCTTCCTACCTACATACCTCTAGCCCCTCTTGAGATTCCAAGGCCCAGGGGTGCCTCCAGCCTCATTTGCCCTGGGACTTCGGCAAACTTACACTACCCAACTGTGTCACCAGATGAGAGCAGAAAAGTCTGAACTTCCTTCCCTAGACTTGGGCAGAGAGGGATAGCCTGCCAGAAAAAGGGTCACAGAAGAGCCATCTCAGCCATATTGCTTTGAGATGTCAGTAGGATGTATGTGTAGCCCCTTCCTTCTCCCACAGTAAGGAGTCTCACAGAGCCGGAAGGTGGAGATGCAGGGAAGGCAGTCTGAAGGGGTGGATACTAAAGAATTTGGAAGTCATCTGCAGAGAGATAATTTTTTAAAGATATCCAAAAAAGAGAAAAGATAGTGAAGTTTGGGGGCTTCAGAGAGAAACACCATATTCAGATTTACAAGGGCTAAAGGAGGCACAGGTAGGAGCTGAAGGAGGTGGTGGGTTGGTGCTAGTTTAAGGGATCTACTTCCCTTTATAGGAAATAAAAAGTATTATCTTTTCCTCATCCAATGCAAGGTTCATGGCTGACGCCTCTCTAACAAAAGATGGATTTTAGAGAAACGACAGAAATAGAGAAAAGCATAACAAATTTATTTAACCAAAGTTTTACATGACAGGGGAACCTTCAGAAATGAAGACCCAAAAATTCAGGGAAAACTGTATTTTTATGCTAGAATTTGATAAGGAGTGAACAGTTGTGCAGAAATGTGATTGGACAAAAGGGGATATGATCTAATGGTCCAAAGCTGGGAGAACTTAGTAAGGCCTGTTTGTTCAGATTCTTTTTGACATCTCTGTATCTCCATTCCTTTCTGCCAGGTGTGGGGCAGGACATCTGCCATATGAGGGTCTTACGACCTACTCTCAGGAGAGGTAGGTAAGAGAATTCTTTTATGGCTGGCCCTCTCTTCTTAAAAAGGCAGAAGAAGACCGGAGAATTAACCTCTTACCTCTGTGATTTTCTCCATTTCCAAGGTGCCGTGTTTTGGAGTAGTGTGTCCGGTACCTGTCACCTTTAACCAACAATTACTGAGCACCTACTGGGTGCCAGATACTCCACCAGGCTCTGAGAGGACAGAAATGCATAACACACAATTTCTGCTCTTAAGGAGGCCTTTGAAGAAGAAGAGAGTAGAAAAAATTCACACATTTCCCCCATCTCAAAATGACATCGATCTGAAGAAAGGAAAAGAAAGGCCGGGCGCGGTGGCTCAAGCCTGTAATCCCAGCACTTTGGGAGGCCGAGACGGGCGGATCACGAGGTCAGGAGATCGAGACCATCCTGGCTAACACGGTGAAACCCCGTCTCTACTAAAAAATACAAAAACTAGCCGGGCACGGTGGCGGGCGCCTGTAGTCCCAGCTACTCGGGAGGCTGAGGCAGGAGAATGGCGTGAACCCGGGAGGCGGAGCTTGCAGTGAGCTGAGATCCGGCCACTGCACTCCAGCCTGGGCAACAGAGCGAGACTCCGTCTCAAAAAAAAAAAAAAAAAAGAAAGGAAAAGAAAAAGATAACTCCCAATGTGTCTTTAAACATTTGACTCAAATTTGAGATTTGGGGTTCGGCAATCAGCTGAACCTCTTCCTCTCCTTTACGTGCACACACACACACACACACACACATTCTGTAGCATGCGTGTCCTCATTCAGCTGGCCAGCGAAGGATAGGCCTAGTTGTTGCTGGCCCTGCCAGTGCTACAATTTTGATCAGACAGGTATTAGAAGTTAATTTCAGAAACAAAATCATAGCAGTTTCTGGCACATAAGCCAACTCCAACCTAACCTTTCGATGAGGTAAGAGTAAAGGAATCTGATAAACACATTTAATTTCCTGTGAAATGAACAGGGATTCAGAAACTAAGAGGGAAGTGGGATTTAGATACACACATTTTGGGTTTTATCTCACAGGACACATATAGCCCTTTTGTTCCATTTGTCATAGTTCCAGGCCCACCGGGTCTCACCTACCCTTGACATGCACCTCCATTACCTATCTAAGCCTCAACCTCCCAGGGTCTCCCTCTGGACTTTCCCCTTCCTAGGGGAAAGAAGGCAAAGCAACACTGTTGTGATGTGATGGCCAGGACTGGGGTCACGTGGCCCACTCCAGATCTGTCCCAGTGGTCACCGTCCCAGGTTCCTGTCCTACTTTCACACTTTTTCTAAACGTGATACAATTATGTCTGGGGCAGAAAGGAGACTCTCAAAGGGACCCCTTTGTTACTCTTCACACACTGCTCCCCCAACCCCAGACCTGTTCCACTTGATCCTGGAGGGAAGAAACAAACTCTTATTCCCTCTCAGGCTTCTGCTGATACTTGTTCTTCAGCTGAGTTCAAGACAGCCAAATGAATTTTTCAGAAAGACCACAGCTGGCTTGTCAGGACCCAGGTAACAAGATGAAAATAATTGAGAGAGGAAAAATCCCAGGCCCCTTGGGTGTCATTTTCACAAAGTTTTCTTCTGCGTATCCTTATGTGTTCCGGGTTTTTCATTGGTTCTCTTCTGTTGTCCTCACTGGCAATTTTCCTCTGCCTTTTCTTCTTTCTCTATAGATTTCCCAAAAGCATAAGCTATGTGTCCCTGATCCTGAGCAGAGTTGATAGGAAACTTTGTTGCTTTTTTAGAACATTTCATAGACAAAACACAACCCCGGCTGTGGCTGGAGGCTGCTGGGATTTCTGGGCCTTGTTTTAATGCATGGCCCCTTTCATGAAATCTGGGGTGGTGGGGTGGAAAAAAAAGATGAGGAGGGGGAAGACAGGCATGAACTTTTACACCCAAAGTGGGATTTCAGAAGAATTTACAGTCATCTTCTCTGGAGATAGTTAAGATTTTCTTTCTTTCTTTGTTTTTTTTTTTTTTTGAGAGGCAGTCTCACCCTGACACCTGGGTTGGAGTGCAATGGCACAATCTCAGCTCACTGCAACCTTCGCCTCCCGTGTTCAAATGATTCTCCTGCTTCAGCCTCCCAAGTAGCTGGGATTACAAGCACCTGCCACCATGCCCTGCTAATTTTTGTATTTTTTAGTAGAAATGAGGTTTCACCATGTTGGCCAGGATGGTCTCGAACTCCTGACCTCGTGATCCGCCCACCTTGGCCTCCCAAAGTGCTGGGATTACAGGCGTGAGCCACCACGCCCGGCCAAGACTGTTAAGATTTTATTGCTGTAGTACCAGCAGTTACAATGTTCCCTAGAACTCATAGCTGAGCCCATGCCAGGGATTCCCCAGCTCAGTGAAGCTGGAAGGAAGCCAACTAGACTGCAGAGTTCACTTTAGGAAGAGAGAGGGAGTTAAGTTAAAGTGGGAGGTGGGTTGGAGGAAGGATAGAAGCCCAGAAAGTAAGTAAGGCATTGTAAAATCACACCTTAGGCCCTGCAGTCAGACAGAGCTGCTGTGGGTGACTTCCCGCTATTTACTACCTTGGGATATTAAGCAAGTACTTTAATCACGCCAGGGCTCAGTTTTCCCATCTGTGAACTGGAGGTGATAATAGTACCTGCCTTGTTGGATTGTTGTGAGGATTTGATGAGATAAAGTCTGAAAAGGATTTAGCACGGTGTCTGGTTCACAGTAAAAGTTTAATCAATATTATTTTCTATTATCATAATTATAAATAATGGAATGCGTAAAGGAGCGGCTGCGAGTAGAGGTCACACTTTCCCTCCCTAAGTGTGTGTGTATGGAGAGAAGACAAACGTTCTTACTTATAAACAGTCCCTTCCGTGTGACTCTCTCATCCAAGCCTGCTGGGTACCTTGGGTGTGGGGGCGAAGAGTAGTAAAAAAGAGGAAAAATGGAAGAAAAAAGAACAGGCCACAAAAGCAGAAGAGATTCACGGGGGGTGAGGGGCACCGTGGCAGAGGGGTGGGGGCAGGAATGATTGGAAAAAGACATGCAAAAGAAAACTAAGTGAAAGAAATGAATATGGATATGGAAATTGTCAAAAATGGAAAGAAGTTTTGCAGCTGGATGTGGACAGAGAGGAAATGTGGAGGAGAGGCGTAGGAGTCTAAAAATGTACAGGGTTTGGTTTGCTGGCCAACACCTCCTCTGGGGAGGTAACAACTCCTGAAAGCCATGAACTTTTAAAAAGGAACCTAAACAGCACAGCAAACCTTCCTGAAGAACATATAACCTCACTGTGTACTTTTCGTCAGCCTCAATTCCTTCCCCACAACTCTCACTGAGCCATTGATCAATGACTCACTCTTATCTCCCACAATCTCACACTCTGCTGTAGCCCTAAAGAAAACTCTGCTCCTTAAGGTAATCCTCGACACTGCTGTGCAGGCCTCTGCTGCAAAGGGTAGGGGCGAATTACCCCTACCACATGCCTGGAGCTTAGTAAGTGCACAATCAATGTTGGTTCAATGAACAGATGGATCAATGGTGCGGTATACTTGAGGCAGGCCTACATACAAGTCAACAAAACTGCTCATAGGATCACTTGAGCCCAGGAGTTTGAAATCAGCCTGGGCAATATAGTAAGACCTTGTCTCTACCAAAAAGAAAAAAAAAAAAATTAGCCGGTGTGGTGGCACATGCCTATAGTCCCAGCTACTTGGGAGGCAGCGGTGGGAGGATCCTTGAGCCCAGTAGTTCGAGGCTGCAGTGAGCTATGATAGTACCACTGCACTCCAGCCTGGGTGACAGTGAGACTGTCTCAAAAAAAACCAAAAAACAAAAAGACTGCTCATGAGGACAGAATTTCTTTCTGGGGGAAAGAAATGTCCTGGAATTAGATAGTGGCGATGGTTTTACAACTTTCTGAATGTATTCAAACCCACTAAACTGTACAATTTAAAATGGTAAAATGGTATATGAATTGTATCCCAACACGTTTAAAAAGCACAAACTATAGCCAGGGAGAAGCAGTCATGACCAGCACTGCTCTTCCAATTGCACTCTTGTTTTTGCTTTGTTTTTCCCCTGTAAGTTACTGGAGTACAGGTGGTATTTGGTTACATGAGTCATGAGTAAGTTATTTAGTGGTGATTTGTGAGATTTTGGTGCACCCATCACCCAAGTGCACTCTTGACACTGGGTTCTCTTCTCATCCTTTTGCTTCTTCTCAGGACATAGTGATTATCTTTAAAAACTCTTCTTGTGTGGTTTTTGTTTGGTTGTTTTTGGATTTTCAAGTGTTCTGGAAATCTTAGTAGGAACAACGATGGTTAGATCTCATAGAAATAAAGTGACTATGTAAGAGAGGCTCAGTTCTTTCTTGAACATTTCTCTAGGACCTGTGCAAACTTTTCAAGCTTGAACAGTCCTCAAGATAAAGATTCAGTTTCATAGTGAGCCTCTTTCACATGGCCCCAGCCACCTGAGGCTCGGCATCAAAGAAATTTTTGAGGAAATCTATTGCCTAATTGTCATGTCTCTTAGCCTTATAGTACTCTTATGGAACACCTTATCTTCCCGACAGTCAAGAGCATTTAAATGAATAGAAACGGTTTCCCAGATGGGACAGAGAGGAAGAACACAGTGTAGCAATAGATTCTCCCAGGATTTTTTTGTTTTTGTTTTTGTTTTGGGTTTGTTGTTGTTGTCGTGTGTGTGTTTGAGCCACGGTCTTGTTCTGTCCCCCAGGTTGGAGTGCAGTGACATGATTTTAACCCTCTGTAACCTTGAACTCCTGGGCTCAAGTGATCCTTCCACCTCAGCCTCCTGACTAGTGGGTATCACTGTGGCCGGCTCTCCTGTTCCTTTAACTTTCCTGTTTAGTCACAACCTGCCTCCTTATACATACCTATAAACACGTAGAGATCAATATTAAAAATCGTTGTTTTCTATGGACTCAAGTTTGGTGAGATTGTGTGCTTAACAGAGCAATTCTCTAAGGATTTTGTGTGGCGCTTACATCA